CAGTGCTGTGCTGTTTCAGGTGGGAATTAAAGACAAGTAATAGCTTAAAACATTCACACTGAGGTATCAAAGAGGAAAACCTTTCTGCTCTGCTTATCTTTCAGGTTTTGGGTCCTCTTGGTACCCTTCCTTCCCATATTCCCTTCCAGGTCAAGTATGGCTATATTTGGCTACCATTATTAATGGTAAATACCCACTTCTTTCCCAAGCAGATATGGGGCTGTTCAGTCACCAGCTTTCTGGTAAGCGAGAGAAAGGATGATCTACACTAAATGTCCTAATGTCTTCACTGCCTCTCCCCATTGGCGCTGCTGGACTGAACTGTGGGTCCCCAGGAGAGAAGTCCCAGGGGATAGGCAGGACCTCATAGCATCCAATGCTGGAATTTGGACACAGAGCTGCAAGAGGAGAGAAGCATACAATAAACTAAGATTCCCCTTGAAAGACTGGAGAAGGCTCACAGAACCATATGCCAGTGGAATGGAAAATATAAATATCTCCTAATGAGATAGGCACTTGAGTCTCAGGAAGATTAAGAGAGAAAGGCAGAGAAAAGAACGGATGGCAGTGGGGCAGATGGGGAAGAGGAAGTATTTCGCTGGTATTTCTGCCATAAGGACTAAAAGATCCCACGGGTGACACATTAAACATATTATTATTCCTGGGCAAGATGCTGTCAGTTTTGTTTGCTAAGGCTCCCAATTCTCCACCCACATTTTCCAATAGCTGGCTTACATGGGGAGCAATTATGGCTGGGCTGAACTTTGGGAGGAAAGGATCCTCTGGTGGCTTCATGCCTAGTGGGCAGGGAATTTGGGTAGACTTGACTGAAAATAGACAGATGGTCTTGGGATCCTGTGGAGCTGAGAAGAGGGATGAATTAGAGAACTCTTCTTCCCCTAAGGACAGCTATAAGCTGGGTTTATGGGGATGAGCATGCATCATGGGAGGAGGCATGGAACACATCTCTTACAGCATCACTGGACGGAGCTTTCACGTTGTGCTGAAAAAGGCAGTGCAATGGTGGGTCAGAGCACAAGATTCTGCCTTTACTTAAAGAAAACTATTACTACTAGTTAAAAAAAGGGCTGTGTGGTTTAGTCACCTGGCAGCTGGCACCTACCTGGTGTTAGAGACCAGGGGCAACTGGAGAAGTGCTGCAGTGTGCTACCTCCCTACTCCCAGATCAATTCCAAACTCCATCTACCCAACCTCCCTGAAGAAACGCCACAGATGCCAAGATTAAGGGAACATTTAGCCAGGTGGGCAGGAGCACTGTCCCAGTGAGAAGTCTATCTTAACCAGTCGGGGTTCAAAACTAATTTGCCCTTTTGATTTCCAAGACATTGATGCCTTCAGTGCAGTAAATGAGTCTCCTAAATGGAGGTCACAGCAGGGCCTGTTGTTTGCTTTTGCTCCTGTCAGGAGCCAAGCATAAGGGCTTTCACATGCCACTCTGCATTTCAAACCAGTAAAGGCAGCCTGGGAGCCTTTAAGCAGGCCCTAATTAGCGCTGATAGATTTCAGGGTGCTCTGAGGCTACATTGAGCAGCCTTTGCCGAGCTGGGAGGCAGCCTCCTTCATTGCTTGAATGACAAAAGGGTTCACTGGGACTTGGGTTTGAAGCAGCTGGATAAAAGTGGTTATGACATGGCCACAGGCCTTGAATTAGCAGCTGATACAACAAAGAAAAGAGGTGAAACAGCAACCAATTAATGTTCCTTCTTGTGCCATCTCCAAAAGACAAACTTACAGAGAGATGCAGGTTTGGATTTTAGCTGCTTACCTGCATTTTCTCCACTCCTTTGGTTCTACAAATGTGGAGCTGGTTCATGTTTAAAGAAGTTCCAAGTCGTAAATTCCTGATACTTCCGAACCCCTCTGTGTTTGGTTATGAACTGTTGCAGAATTATTATGATTAGGTTAAATCTCAGTAGCTTCTACTTTTAACTTGGCATGCCTCCAGTTGTCACAAGCATGCGTGGGTCAAAGCAATGTGACCTGGATGTCTTTTACTCATGGAACTATAATTCTGCATGGGTTCTATTCCAGTGGGGGGAAAATATCCTACAAAAGGTCAAAGAGACAGATTGTTCAGTAAGAATTAATAGATCCTGGTTTCTGTGTATTTTTGTCACTGTTTCACCCCCAATATTTTTCCCTTAGAGACATCTTGCTAGAGGCATTTATGATCTTAATCACTCACTCTGCATTACCTCTGGCATTCCTCCACCCACACCAGCTCTGCACTATGAGCTGGATGCTTTCACTGTAAGCTGGGATGTGTTATGTCGGAGCTATAGCTGTCATGACTGGCTGGCCCATGTTTGATGACCAGACCAAGCATTCCCCATTACAGTCCACCGTGGCTGATCATATTTCGTCTTACTCAGACAATTACATCCCTCACATTCTGTGCTATATACAGATCTAATATATATATATATGCAATACGTAATGTGTGCTATTACTCCTCTCTTCCATGTAGAGAGGAGTAATCTTGATGTTAGTGCAGTGGTGGTGCAGGCTGCTGAATAGCGAGTGAAAGCACATTGGATATATCTTTGCTTTTCTTTGTTATCTCCATATAACCTCTGATGCAGTCACTGCATCCCAGAGAATATGTGAAACAACATCTGAAATTATTTGGGTAAAATCCTGCATCGTCATTCACCAGTTCGGGTCAAAACTGCTCTAGCACAGGGGCTATGGACAAGTGCCTGCTTTGATTTCTCTGTACAGAGGAGCACAGCACTGCTGGGTTTCTTTGCCTCCGTACAGATTTACACTCTGTGTGTGCCTGTAGGTAACTTAGAGCCACAGGACTCATCAGTTGACTGATGCTACTCTCCTGCTGACTCAGCGTCAGTAGAATCTCCGTGCCCAACTGGAGAACCTCTATTACACACAGCAAATATACTGATGTGTGCACAAATTCAAAGTTCAGGTGTGGAATAAACTGGAATCCTGTGCTCTTGTCTGATCAATGCAATGGTATTCAAAAAAAAAAAAAAAAAAAATAAGGAAAAAAACACCCAAAGGTGTGTTGTATTTAAAAAGTTAATTCAGAAGGGCAAAGGGCTTTATCTACAAACGAAAGGTATGCAGGAATGAAGAAGGAGAGGAAAAACCCCAAACTTACACAGCTTAAGGCAAAAAAAAGGGCAGTTAAGAAGGGATTTAATTGATAATGGTTTAGATAATGTCAAGTGAAGTTTCTATTCTCAGCCCAAGTGCAGATGAGGAGGCAAAAGGACTAAATGTCGAAATTAAAGAAATACCCATTCAAAGCTAAACTGAGAAACCTTTTGTCACACAGAGAATCATAAGCGTGTGAGAAGTCCCAGCAGGAGAGGTTCTCAAGGCAAAATAACACTGGGGGCATTCAGGAAATAATTAGCTGGCTTCCTGGAGGGAGCAAGTAGATGTGTGTGAGGAAAGGAGGAGTGTGTGAGAGGAGGGGGAGGACTGGAATGAGATAAGATTCTAATAGAAAGAATGGATGAGAAATGAGGGGCCTTTAACTCATTCCACACAGGGGGAAAAGAGTAAGCAAGTAAGTAAAGGAAGAAGATGTGTTATGCTCAATTTAATGAGCTCCTCTGGAGTGGCAGTCTAGATCAGAAATGAAATGAGGCTCCTGGCTCAATCAGAGATAAACCGGCTCCAGCTCACAGCATCGCCTCTGCCAGTGGCCACTTGTGGCAGAACAAAGTGACCCGTGGGCTGCTCCTGATCCCTGCAGACAGTGCACATATGTTGGTGGGTGTTTGCTCTTCCAGCTCATGGCTATGTTGTTCAAACCATGCCCAGCTGGAGCCTCTGGTAGGTCTTTGACACACTTGGTAGGTTGGACCCACATTGCTCTTGAATTGATCCCTATTTCAATCAGGAATAGCTGCATTTATCAATAATATCAATACTACCATTGCTAATGTTGCAAATCAAAGCATTTCTGTAGAAACCATCCTTCCGGCTCTCAAGAAAGAAAATACCCATTCCATCTATTTCAAACATCACTTGTTGATACAGAGAGTTGCCCTCTAAACATACCTGTCTCTCTCAGTCGACTCCAAATACAGATCAGATAGCCATTATAGAATCACAGTTAGGGTTGGAAAGGACCTGAAGACCACCTAGTTCCAACCCCCATGCCATATTGTCAATGCCTGACTTCTGGGTGGCTCAAACTGTGAGAGGCAAGTCCCACACCACAAGTAAAAGCTCCAGTGCAGCTTACTTGCAGTAGGGCCTTGGGGTTTTTGCCTGGAATTTCTTTGAGTACTTTAATATCATTACCCTTTTGCGAGAACCTTCTGCCAATTCTTGTGCAGGAAGTTGCTGCCACAACTGCTCCAATCTCAGTAGTTGCGCTTTTTTTTTACTACAAAAATGATAAATGATGATGCTTTTAAAATTAATTTCCATTCTAGCAGCTCGTGACAGCCGCTTTGTCTGCGTTAACTTGGGACAAAGTACAAACATCAAGAGAGGGATTTCATGGGTTTTATCCTCAGTGCTAACACACAAGAGAACCTGATACAGTAAGGGAAAGCTAAGCACAGCTAAAAGGTGCAAAAGCTACAGAAGGACATTTCTCTGCATTAAATGCATGCTCTGATTTTCTCCCTTCACAATCATACCCAAAACAAAGGATGTTCTTTTTAAGAGAATATGTGGAGGGTTTCTGGACTCTAGCCTTGAAATTCCTACATATCCTCCAAGCAGGTAGCAAATACCTTACCTCAGCTGCCTATCAACCCTGAATTAGAGCACCCACCTTTAAGGAAATGAGTTCACTGCTTGGGCCTATACAGCAAGTGGCTTTTCATCCTTAACTGCTAAGGAGGACACCAGTTAACACTAAATGTAGTAGTGGCTTTTGCTATGTAAGTAGGGGTCCAAGTAAGAACCAAAGTCAAACTGCATCAGGATCTGACCTGACCATTTAGCTCAGGCCACTGAACTGCTGCCAGGGGCCTATCACTGTGACTCATTACCAGTCTCTGCCAGATGTGAACCAATACCCAGGTGCAGTCATGTCCCTGTAATAGTCTTCCCCCCTCCTCAGAAAGGTTCCCTGCCATTAGCTGTCCCTCCTTCCACAGTCTCTGCCTGAAAGAGGAAATCTGTGCCAGTCTCTGCCTTCGCTTTGATGCAGTGTCCTGTTAATGACAAATCCCAATACAAGCGTTTTTTAGGCTGCAAGCAACAGCTTGTCTGGAGTGTTTCAGAGCTGCCAGATATGAAGTATGGATGGGATGGAGTCCAAACACATGGGTCAAATCACTGAGAAGGAGCTGGGAGTGCCTTGCCTACATCTAGGTGGTCTGAGACAAAATTAGTCAAAGTCAGAGCTCAGACACCATTGCTGGTACCTACCTTTACTATGTCTCTCAACACTAAATGATTGAGCTCAACGTACACGTATATGTTGTATATTTACTAGCAGAATCTTAACTACCATTAGAAAGAAACCCCAGGCTCAGGCTCCAGGTAAAGGAGCTTCCCACTTTTCACAGGTGTAGAAATCCAGAGCACATCTTACAAAAAGCAATCCCTTCTCCCCCCAAATATCCATGGATCTCTGCTGGAGGGCTTGAGGCAGCCCCTTCCACACACACATCCCCCAAAGTAGGACCCATCCCAAATCATCCCAGCAGGAAATCACTGTGCCTGAGCAAAGGACCAGTTTCCTCCCTGACTGCTCTTCTGCAGTCTGTTCCCATTCCCACTCCTTTCCTTCACAGCCTGCCAGAGCAAACAGCAAACATTCAGTCTAGCACCAGTCACGGCTAAGAAAAGGTCACCAAAGCCTAAATCACACTCAGAGGTTATCCCTAAGGAAATGAAGGGGAATAGGGCACAGTGGCACTGTGGCTGCAGGCTACAGTTTAAATAGGACAGAAAGATAGGAGAAAAGCTAGGATCTTCCCCTGAGGCCCCTATCACGGGGTAAATTAATGAGAAGACACAAAGACTGGAGATTAGCATTTGGTCAATTGAAAGAGGAGAGATTGTAGGTCTGGAAGGAGACAACAGAGAGTGTATAAAACCTTTAATCTGGCAGATAGCTGCTGTCGGGGATACATGTTCCAACCTGCTCCACGACGTTGTAGATCGTGTTAGCTTTTGTGCTGGCTTAATTGGAGCTTTGCAGTTGCCCTTGGTCACTGCTAATTGCCTTAACTGAAATGGCGCGCATCTGCGCAAGCAGGAATAAAAGCCTGGGTGGGTTTGAGAGGGAATACATCCTCAGCGTTCCTAGCCATTGGCCAGTGAGTTGGGGCTGAATTAGGTGACTGCATCACCTGCCTGCTGTGCTTTGGGAAAGCTGGTTGGATTTATTGCTAGCTTACAAAAACCTGGCTTTAGACTGCGCTGATTGCACTCGGTTACTTAAAGGAAGGGGAGAACAGAAAGAGAAAGGAGCAGTTGTCTGGGTTTGTAGCATTCAGCCTGCTGGGGTGGGATCTCTATCGGCAGCCCCTCTATCGGCAGCCCCTCTCCCTACACTCAGCATGTCTTTGTGTGTGCACCAAAGTGAATCAGACCAGGAGCCCCAGCTTTATGCATGGATTTTCTCCAGGCTGAAGGTGATGAAATGGGTACTGGGAGCCTTAGAAATACCGTAGGACACGTTTGAGTGGAGGAGGAGACGGAAACTCATCTGTCTTCCCCAGCTCTGAGCACACGTGATCTCATCACAAAATTGAACACATAACTCAGTGCACCTCTGTACCCAAACTGTAATTGCAGAGTATGGAAATAGGCCTCAGCACAGTGACAGGAGTCTCTCCTCTCTAGCAAGTGCCTTTTGCTGTAACCATTTGTCTATAATGGCACAAATTCCCCCCCTGAAAGTGGAGTCCATCACTCCACCACCTCGCTGAAGGTCCTCATCTCTAAGCAGGCACAGGAAAGCTGTGTTTTGAGTCAAAGAAGTCCCAGACTTCCCATAAGAAGCCCAAGCAAATGATGGGACTGAAACATCTCCATACATGTCATTCCCAGGCTGGCCTCTAAGCTCTTTTGTTCTTTATTTCACAGGGAGACGAGGTGCTGAACCAGAGCCACGGACTCTGCTTGTGGCATTAACCTAGGAGTTGGGCTGGACTAAATCCTTTAGTTTCATCTGGGCCTATAATTCTCCATCATTGCAAGGGCCTGGAAGCTTGCACAGATTTTGGCATAAGGAAGCTTTGGCAGCCCACGAAGATGTATCACTTGAAGTTAATTTATAAGGACTTGGACAGGGAGAGAGTTCATTTAATTGAAAGATGTAATTATCAGGTGTTGGAGGCAAAGGGGCTCATTAATTTCTGAGACATGCTGTTGACTGAGCTGTCTTCATTTTTATTTTCCACTCCATATCAAGGCTGAATCTACATGTTGGGATTGAAGACACAGGATCACTGTTAGCCTTGTTTGGTATATTTTCCACAGGACAGAGGATTTTCTTCAGCCCAACAGTAAGCACAAACTGTGTGGTCCTGCCCTGCGTTGCGTGACAGCAAGAGCTCCCGTGGGGATCTTGGCATGATTCCATAAAGGCCTGGGCCCAGAGGACTCACAAACCTGGTAACGGCGTAGACTGGCCTAAGGTGGAAGGTGATGGATTACACAGGCCACATCCCACGATGGAAAGGAAGCTATGAATTTCCTTAGTACATCTCTTCTTCCTTTAGCTTTAAGGCTTATAATCAGCCCTGAAACGAAGAGGACCATGGTGCTTAGAGGATACAAGAGCTCCTACAGGAAGGAATCCCATAAGGGACCAGGGAGAGGCTGTGATTGCAGGCTAGCTGTGTCCTTTGCCAAAAAAATCCACCTCACAGCCCTCTCCATCTGGATTTGCACATCTATCCTACTATTCCTCTCTCCTCACCTCTGCCCCATCCAAAACTAAAACTACCCTGCTCTCACCCTCCTCACATTGATATTCCCTCCAGCTTGCCAGTCTGCACTTAGATTTATGATTTATTTAGAATTGGATTACACCAAGGCTCAAGGCCACTACTCCCTAATCTGTCACCGTCCCCACCATGGCCATACACAACATTTCTTTTAGCTGCATCAGCATCTCTGGCTCCCGAAGAAGGACGCCTATTGTTAATTGCTATAGCAACCACAAGTCAGGGTTTGGGCTTTTTTCCCTTTTCTCTTAATACTCCTTTTCCCTGGCATTGTCAAGTGATAGATATTTATAACTTAATATAACAGTGTCATGTCTAAGTTATGCTGTTGAAATGCATCACAGCCGAAGTTGTTCTGTTATTTGTTTTTGTGCTGAATAGCAGCAAGTGCTTTAAGTTATTGTCCTTGCACACCCATAAAAAGGGAAAAGAAAGGATGTATAATTGTTGCTCATATTTATAGCGATTGGATGCAGAGTGCCAGGGTGCAAGGAAGCCTGAATTCAGCAGTGTCACCCAAAATGATACCGAGGACCACGTTCCCTTCAAATACGCTGATGGTGGATATGTATTTGAATTGGGAAATGAAGGTTTTGGGCTTGGATGAACGAACTCATTATGCTAGGGATATTTTTGGCCCCAGCTGGATAAACTCTGATGAGCTAAGATATGAACACGCTCAAAAATGTGGAACCAACACAAAAATAATGAGTAAGCCCTTTGAAATCACCAAGCACAAGTGCAATCCATCTTTAATGCACCATAACACACATGCAAAGCGTTTGCACTCTTTCTAAGCCTTTTCTTACTGTTTCCTAGGCAGGACCACGTGGAGATCTATTGCTCTCCAAAATTCCCCTGAGGAATCGTGGTGCTATGACCACATACCTATTACCTATTGAGACAACTCTGAGAGGACAGGGTAGGAAATCATCAGCACAGGATCAAGTGGGATGGAGAGAAGACAAAGCGAAAGATCTCCTGATGTGAGGACTGGAAGAAGGGCAGGCTGTGAAAAGCAATCTGTGGCAAAACAAAGCTGAAATCAACATAGATCAAGTGGTATGAGAGGATGGAGGCTTAGAAGAGGAACCTATATGGGGGGGGGCTGTAGAATATCCAAGTTGCTTGTGAGGGGAGCTCTGTCCTCAGATGCAGCAGCATTGTGCTAAAGGGAACTAGAAATCAATGAGGGCCAGAGAGAAGCTGAGACCTCTTCAAGGGCATTAGATTAAAAACCACATAGAGACACAGAGGAGATTCAGAGAAAAGGAGTGGGAAGAATGGGTAAGCTTCCTCTTGAGAGCTGGGAATAGGCTTGGAGGTAACAAGGCTTACCAAGGGACAGTGCTGCAGCAACTATGGAGAGCATCAGGATGGAAACCTGGGAGCCTCCTAACAAGAAATGCAACCAACCCTCTGTTTCACCTCTCTATGTCTAGGATCACCTATTCATGCCTCAACATCCCGTGGTCCCATAGCACGGTGACATGGAACAATGTGAGGACCTGTCCCAAAGTAAAGGAGAGATTCCTCCTTCTCCTGGACCCATTTGCTCCTCTCTTAACACTGCTCATAGCATGAGCCCTCTCACTGCATAACCCTGGAGGAGACCCCAGATAGACTATGCTCATCTTCTGCTCCAGAATGCATTTTTCCTCATTCTTGCAGACTACTTTTATTGCTCAGCTTCTTTAACACAGTCTTCCCCAGTCTGTTGTGGTGTTGAATATATTTTGGCAGATCAGGTCACCATCCTTACACTGAAGGGGAAAAAGCCCCAGCTCAGTTGCTCCCTATAGCTGCTGGCTGGACTGGGGACTGCCTAAGAAATGGCTCATGGAGCTGGAGTGGAATGAGGTAGGGGGAGGTAGGGCATTCTCTTAAAACAGCTTTAAAACCCATCAGTGATTTGATTTGCTTTCTGAGAATGGTTCAGTTCAACAAACAATTGCAAGCTACACAGTCGCAAGGTAAAATGAAAGCCCATGGGCATTAATTATATATATAGATATTAAAAAAGAAGCTACTGCTTAATTATTGTTTGCAAATCTCGGTATTTAAATTGACTTATTTGCAAATGTCTGTTTAGAAATTGACTTTGTAATTATAAAGTCAGTGCAGGCATATCACAGGCCCTGGAGGGGTCTCTAACGAGGAATGATAATGTACCAGGCAAAGTGAACTATCCTGAGCTGCATTTTAATAACCAAGAGGTGCTTGGAAGGGGGAGCGGAGGGTCCACGAGAAATCCCAAAGCCAACAAAAGGAGAAGCAGGAGGCAGAGGATGGAGCGAGCTGGCTCCACAAAACAGAGGGCTAACATGTTTGAGAAAGGGCTTCAGGGGAAACGCATCTCTTCCTGAAGCCCCTGCAACAGGAGTGAGCTGGCAGCATCCTCGGCTTCAGCTCTTGAATGAGAATGAGGCAGTCTGCTGGCAGCAAGCTGCTGGCTGCTGCAAAGCTGTAGCTGCCTACCAGAGGGAAAGAATCATCCAGCACGTACCCAGCCATCGCTGCTCAGTGAGCACTCCCTGCAGGCAATGGTACAGACTCATGTTGACTGCCCATGAACCCCCTCATAGGCACGTTTGCATGCAGAGCTGAGGGCAGCTCACACTGCCCATTCTCCAAGATATTAGTAAGAACGGTGGTTTCCAAACCTAAAACACCTTTCCTGGACCTGAAGCCATGCTCATCAAGCACTATAGTTGGGGATCATCTACAACAGGGTGTGGAGAGCATGTCCATGTGCCTGTGCTCTGCCATATGCTCACCATTAGGTGATGTTTACTGGGATACAAGGTTTTCTGGGGGAAGAGTGGCCTGTTTCACAAGAGCACAAATCCTTTTCAGTCCCACAGCATGTGCAATAACTCTCGCGATTTAACTTCAACGCTTATATCCAAGAGGTATAAGTACATCAAGGGTGAAACAAGAACTCTTCCATCACCTTTTTTTCTCTATCATCTCTGACAACAGTGCTGCTAGGTCTCCAGCTCTAGTGGTCCAGGGGATTTCTTCTTTACGGACCATCACTACTAGCTTTAAAAGCAGCCCCTGGCCTGTGATTTCTCACATAGTTCATTAAGCAAGAGGGAGCAAAGCCTGACTGCTAAGCAGCACATTAGAAAGATCAACAGCTGGCAGGGTGCAAATGTAACAACAAAAAATACCATAAGCAAAAGCTCTGGGTTTTTGACTCATCTGCTATGCACAGTCATGTTATCCCTTATTCGTGAGCATTCAGATGGTGCCAGTATATTCATGAGAATGTGGCAGCTGAAGACAAGGTCTGAAAGTTAAATAGGAGCCAGCATCCTACTGGAGCAGAACAATATTACTCTTTGGAGTGAAATTATGAGTGAAAGTGTGGTCCTTGTGAAATCAAAGGCAAACACCCAAACACGGTTTTTCTTTCCTCACCATGAAGGCAAAGGAACTCCGTGAATTAAAAACCTGCTTCCCTGACAGCATAGCTGTGCCAGTGTAAAAGCACAGACCTGATGGACTCAACACCCTCCTGATCTGTCTCTCTAAATGCTAAGCACTGCTCAGCACTTGCTGTCTGTTCCACTGTGCAGCTTGTGCCTATCAAATACAGAGCAAATTCTGCTTGGAACAGCAGTATATGCCTTCTTTGACAGAGATAAGAAACCCCACCCATTAAAACCAGTGACATGGAAGACCCAAATTCCTTTATGTCTGCTTGAACTGGCCAGAAATAAGATAACTCCCATCTGGAGGCCAGGTAGCTGTATTAGGACAGAGCTTGCAGTATAAAATCACCACTGAGAGATCTGTTCATAGGCACGTGGCCTTGGACAGCCTGTACAGTGGTAGTAGCCTGGTCTATGTTACTTTGATTTTCTGGTTGTCCTGATCACTGGTCCAATGCATTTAGGGTTTAATTATGCCAGTGAAGCATTAAAAAAAGAAAAGGAAAAGGAAAAAGGAAAAGGGAAAAGAGAAACAGGGAAACAGAAAAAGGAGAAAAGGGTAAAGCAAAAAGGAAAAAGGGAAAAGGAAAAAGGGAAAAGAAGCAGCTTGTGTTAAAATAACAAAGGAAAAAAACTCTAAATATTTTGAGTAGATTTGAAATGGAAGCTACTCATCTCATTAGTTCACAAAAATGTGCATTGCATCTTCACATCCACTCATCTAAAAGAGAAGCTGTCCTTGTCTAGCTGCGTGGTTTCCTCAGCAGGCCTCGGTATGGTGTAGCTGTGTGTGCAGTCCCAGCATGAGGTTCAGGCTGTAGGAGCAGGGGAGCATGGCGTGAGCCCACACGACTCCCATGTTCCTCCCTTAGATGTGTTCAGCATCCCATTTACTTTCATTTTTTACCCACAATCCTTTAATTCCAGGGTTGTGCCAGGACAATTGTTCAAACAAGGAGCATATTACATCTCATTCACGCATTAATTAAAACTATCCCAAACCTCACAAAGTTTGCCACTGATTCAGAGCAAATGGGACCTGCAGATAATTAATGACTCTCAGTGACAGTTCTTGAAGAGCTGGTTTCTGGCAGCAATCAGCACATGCTGGATAGGTTTCTCTTTTATAAGCCTCTTCTGTTCTTAAAGACACAAGAAATAGTGAAAGCAGGTTGTTCTTTTCAATATTAATTAGACTATTATTTATTTGGAAAAGAGAGGGTTTTGTTTTAGATATTCACAAGTCAGCTGCTGAGATTTCCACCCGAAGTCATTTAATAGACCATTAAGAAAATGTTGTAGTGACTAATTATTCATCACAAATTCCGAACCTGTTTACCAGAGAGTTTTACTTTTGTTAATTCATAAGATTACCTCTTAGATCCCAAGCCCATGATGCCTATTCTGGTGTTGTCTTGAAATAGAACATATGTAAAATATGATACATTGTGCCTTCTCCTTTTAGGGTGGTTTAAGTTCTGCCTAAGGAATATGGCTGTTCTGTGCTCCACTGTGGATGTATCATTAAGTTCCATTACTACTAACAGCTACTAATAACAAGCAGTAATAAAGGTCTTGATTTTACCTTTAGGAGCAATGGAGCTGCAGACATACACATATCTGTGATACCAGCCAAAATAAATGTTGACGAGTCATGGTACAGCGTGGCTAGCCTGAATTAACCAACTGATGAGATGAGGGCAACCTTGATCTTAGGTCGTGGACCTGAATTTTGGTTGAACCTGGTGGCTCCCTTCACCCCCTGATTAAAAGAGGAATTCATTGTTCCTAGGAGACTGTAGCAATAGGACAAAGGGTGACGGGTTCAAACTGAAATAGGGGAAGTTCAGGTTGGATATAAGGCAGAAGTTCTTTCCTGTGAGGGCGGTGAGGCCCTGGAACAGGTTGGCCAAAGAAGTGGTAAATGCTCCATCCCTGGCAGCGTTCAAGGCCAGTTTGGACAGAGCTTTTGGGTAACATGGTCTAGTGTGAGGCATCCCTGCCCATGGCAGGGGGTTGGGACTGGATGATCTTAAGGTCCTTTCCAACCCAAGCTATTCTATGATTTATTAACAAGTTCAAACCCCAATCCTTCTCCTTCCACACACTACTTCCCATACATGCAAAGGCTCTTTTAAACTTCCACACCTAGCCTAAGTACCAGGGGCCTGCCCAGATGCCATAGCTCCAATAGAAGGTGGTACTGCAGCACTGAGACAAACAAGGTCTGTGCCCAAAGAAGCCTGCAATCTATAAAGTGTTCATCAACTTCAATGGGTTGACCTTGAGGAGAGCACCTTGGACATTCTTTGTGTGGAAACAGCACCATGTCTAGTGAAAATCCATACCAAGAGGGTATGCAAAGATCAGACTCGATTAATTCTTTCCAGAGGTGCCTCCACAATGTCAACATTGATCTGCTTCTTAGTCGCATGGTTTTCTCTTGGCTGACAACCGTATGCCAGTCAGAGCTCTTCTCTATTGTAAATTGTAACAGATATGGAGATAGGACCATTAAAATACCCTGAGAGTGCACAGCAAGTCATTGTTTTGCTGCTTGTGCTGAGAAAAACCTCCCAGTAACACTGAAGAAATAAATGCTATAGGCTGATCTTGTGGCAAAGAAGTTAACCCTACAATGAAATCAGATAAAATGCCTGAGGATAGGGATCAATTTATGGGTGTTTTGCGCTGTCTATGGTAAAACGTTGCCGCTTTAAAAAGCAGACTTGTAGGACAACTGCAGAAATACACATGCATTTTATGACTAGGCATACCCATGGGAAAATACAAACATCCTGGTCTGTGTAAATGGTCGCTGACAGGGTGTCTGTGTTTCAGACTGCCCTCGAAGGGGTTTTTATTAGAGTTAACTTAGAGATAAATCATTTCATCTTACCAGAAGAAGGCAAGCTCAATCACCATCTGTCTTCTTACGTATGCAATAGGACCTGCTGGATCCAGACTGTATTTCCACAAGTCTGGAGTCACATAGATACTGGCCTTTGACCCAGACCCCTATAATATGCAACTGAGATGTGCAGCAGCCATTCAGATGGACTTCTGAGAGACTTAGCTTGAACCTGGGGATATGGATTTGACCCCACCTCCAGTCAGTCATTAATTGCCTTATTGAGTTTAGGTGCAATCAATGTTTGCTAATGGGCAGAGCATTTTTCATTGTAAATAGAGACTTAAGCAGACTGTTCTATGGAGGTCTAGTTGCTATCTCCAGTACTGATGATCTGTTTTACCAATGACTATTCTTATTAATAATAAAATCCAGAAGTCAGTTATTTTGATGTCCTTTCTAAGGCCAGCTTCACCATTACTCAGCGATCTACTTTTGTCATTGTTGTTCATCTTCTGTCCTTTATGGTTTAAATTTAAGTCAAATTAAACTAACAAATGACAAAAAAAAAGATAAACTTATAATAAAAGTGAAAAAAAAAACTTAGAAACTTTGTAACAAAAAAGGAAGAAATAGGGAAATACTTTTTCCTGGGACCCAAACTTTGAAATCAAAGTTGTTTCCCAGTTGCAAATAATCACCATGTGAGAAAGACAATATATCTATTGATGATGCATTGAGAGCATTGCTGTCCTAAAGGTTACAAGCTTACATGAAAGATCTTCTTTCCAGGCTAAGTGGTGCCCAAGAAAAATGCATTGAGAATTACTCACCTTCCAAAGAAGCTGCAGACAAATGAGCACAGCCTTTCGCAGGGGCAGCATGGTTGCAAATGGATGCCTTCCTCAAAATACCTCTAAAGGCAAGAGGAAAAAGAAGTCAAATTAAACCATCAATTCAGCAGCAACTTTGCTACTCATCATGCTGGCATTTCTAGAGGAAGAAAGGTTGAAAACCACCCAGAAAGAGATGTCTGTGCAGAACTGAGCATCCTTTCCATGTGCTAATCGATTCCATTCACTTCATGTGTTTCACCTGCACATTTCCCAGCAATGCATTAAACAACATGTGCACGTTGCTGAACCTTCAGCTCCCATGCTAACTGCTTTGACTTCCACAAACAAGCCAGCCAAGAAGACATCAGAGAAGTACCTAACCTCATCTTGAGAGCAGGAGAGGGAGAATTATGAGAACAAGTTTAAAGGAAGGGAAAGAGAGAGAGACAGAGAGATTTTATTGCTCAAGGGGAAAAAAAAAGAGATTATAATTGAATTGCAGAAAATTCTCCACATCACGGGTAATGGTGCCTGGGTTACCTCTCTTTATCTGTGCAATAGAGATTAGCAGACAGGGTCATAGAGGGAAATTAAAGTCAAATAAATTCTGGGCCAGCACTTGGTAAGTACTGATTTCCTAGCATTTAGCAAAAGGAGCATAAGGGCAAATGAAGTGGCACAGCATAAGGTAGCAGCCAGTGGAGAGAGCCATGCTGCCATAAACATCAAGCAGGGACAGGCGGTTTCCTCACTGCAGACTGCTCTCATGGAGGATTGCAGGAGGTTCCCTCTAGGAATGGCTGCTGGCAGGCTCAAGTCCTGAGCACTTCAGGAACTGAAGTCACAGGCAAGGCAACACAGAATTGTAGACTGGTTTGGGTTGGAAGACACCTTAAAGATCATTCAGTTCCAACCCCCCTGCCGTGGGGTTCAGTTCTTCCACTGAATTCCTCTATGATGACTCTGGATGTGTAAGATATCTCCCCACTGTTTTCTTATTGCTCCTATCCTGCAGGTTGCTATTTTCTCTTGAAAGATGAATGAATGTAAAGTACGTTACATGCTGTGTCCACATCCATTAGGAGCTGGAGACTTAACCTCAGCCCCGCGCAGCATCCTTCCTCCAATGGCTTACACCAAGCCCTCGGACCTCAGTGTAAGATGAACTGTCCACTGAAGCTCACACACAGCCACATTTCCCATTCAATTGTGCTGGGAATTGCCAAGACATAGCAAAGGGAAGGAGTTGTTCCACATCCACTCAGCAGAGATCTTCAGTCTTTGTTTGACAGACCCTTTGGGAGCACAAGTCGTGTTCCTGACTCAGTGCTTCACCTTTGCAGGGTGCGTTGCTTGTCTGCAGCCAGCACTGTCAGAAATGACAGGAGGGTTTGGAGGATATTATACTGAGATTTCCCAATCCCCTTCAAGAGCTTGATTCTCCAAAAGTGCTGGGAAAAATACCTCAGGAAATTAGGTTTCTGAAGGTACCTCAGATACACAGTAAATAAAACACATGAGGGAAAAAACAGCCCAAAGCAGGCATTAGTACAAATCACTTCAGATCTGTTGAAAGCTCTTTCCTGCTCTTTTTAGAAGTGACTGGCGCTTGTTACAGATGTTTTTCCTTGGCTTTCTTAAGTATTTTTTACTGACCTTCATAAAAATATCACAGCATTGCTGGCCAGTAAAATATTTAAGGAACCTTCTGAAGGAAACATCATGTCTGAATTGAGGTATCTTTATTCTTTTCTTGCAGTGCTAAATTAAATAAGCATTCACCTTCCTCCCCCTTGCCTGGATGAGCAGTACATGATGAAGGGGAAGGAGGTTTGGTTGACAGAAGCTGTTTAATAAGGAAGGAGCTGGAGAACCCATCCTAACCCATCCACTACCTGTTGTTTTCATGGTGAACAGGACCTTACACCTCCCTGGCAAGTCCTGTGCCTTGCAGTGTTGTGGGCAGTTGAGCACGAAACTGGCTCGGCAGCTGACAGCACACTAAGCTTTACAGCAAGCAGCCTCATCCTTACTCCTCAGCATAGGGACAGTCATATAGGTTGGGGTTATTAGACTGTCTATCTTTGCAGTGCAAAGAGCCTAATTAGGCTCAAGTGGGGCAGGGAAACTGGTCTTGCAAGAGAGTACTGTGACAACTGGAGCAGTGAAGTGTGGGTAGCAAAGATGGACAGACTGGGGATAGATAGAAATAAGCCTGTCTGTGCTCTTCTCCACTCACCCCTTTTAAGGGAATATGTTCCTCACCCTTCATTCCTTCCTCCCTCCCTTTCCCCCCACCACAATATATCTTGACTTGATGCTGTTTGAAATCAAGCACTTGGTTTACCCTCCTCAGGCAGAGCTGATCTCTCCCAGGGTGACTCTGACTGCAGCAGGAGACACAGCGGGATGCTGGATATGGAAACCTGGCATTAGTATCACTTTCAGATGACAGCAGATTAGAGAGCTGGACCTGCAAGTGAATTAATATAGGGCTAGGATTCACTCAGAGGGTTTGCTGCTGTCATACGCCTCTCAAGATGTGAGAGAGAATTAACGTGAGGGGCTGGGATCTGCTTGGAGCACTGCGATGGCTGCCTGCCATCCTCAGGGAGCAGGGAGCAAATGAACACAGGGGATAGGTTTGCTCCAGAGCCTGCAGGTATCCCAAGGAGCAGAGGGGAAGGTCACTTAGCTCCTGTTGACCTTCCAGGCTACCAGTTAACTGATCCAACATCCACCAGTATGGGTTGGTTTAACCTCAAATAAACACCCAGTTGGAACTGGGTCTTCTTGCTCTGGTGTGATCCTGAGGGATTCACACTCTTCACTGTGTACTGATGCAGCTAGGGGTCTTGTGGAAAGCCACATGCCCCAGGTCTCCCATCAACCAATCAGCCAGGGAACAAAGCACCCTCAGATCCACTGGGACCCATTCATGTCCATGGACAAATATAGCAGCTAAACCCAAGAGGTACTGATGCTCTGTAGGAGCAGGGACAGTGCAGGTTTCCCTAGGGGAGGAGAACAGCAACTAAACTACACACATCTGGGTAACAGAAATTCATGTGCAGGATGTGCTGAGGATCCACTAGCAGAGACTTTCCCATAGACCCTCATCCCTGAAATAACAGTTCCAGATATCCTTAAATAATTTATCTCACCCTTTGAACCGCAGAGAGCCAACCTGCAGCTTTTTGCCTACATGTGGTCTGCCAGGAGAGGTTATATACTTCCATCCTCTCCCATTCCAATGGGACAAGGACTTTGACTGGGAGCAGTCTGGTGGCCACAGTCAGCATGTTCTTACTTTCTGTGGTCCACAAAGCACCTCTCCTCTCACAGTGAACTTGTTTGCCCTCATCAGAGTGCCCTCACGAGGACTTGTGTATAGATGTGTTTGTAACATGCAGGAAGAGAGAAAAGAGTGCAGAAATGATGGAGAGAATGATCTGTCACTGCAATAGAAAGTGAACCACATTTTGGGGAGGTTAATGGTTATTTAGAACAATGTATCCCTGAGCCAGACGCTCTGCAGGGCAGGAGGCAAAGGGAGGATTTGCTCCCTCTTTTCCAAGGGAAAGAGAGGTTTGGTGCCTGGAGCATAAACACAGCTGAGGATTCTGCAAATAGACAATATCCTTCAAATGCAGCCTAGGGATGAGATGGAATCATTTTATGCACCCGATTTCTTGAGAAGAGGCAAAAAAAACCAAAACAAAACAGGGAGGAAGTGGGCCCTTCGAAGCAAAATAAAGAACAATGGAAAACTAAGCACTGGAGGAGAAGGCTTGGAATAATTGCATTGTGCAAGCATCCTGCTGGGAAGTAGCATATGCTGGAGGAGCCCTCACTGGGGACACAGGATGAGCAGGCAGGAGGGAGGCCAGGCAAACCATCAGCTTCAAAGCAGCACAAGTTCCAAGCGGCTCCAGCTCCGGTGAGGTCAGCATAATAATGCCAAGGATGAAAATATCCTCGTGTTTAAAACAAAATCCCTTCTTTCCATTGCCAATAGCACCAGGTAATAAGCAGCAGGTAAGGGACTAATATTATAACAGATATTTGGGTCATGAGCTGTCATTTAGTGTGGGCAAGATAGGTGTATGTCACTTGGTGCCCCTGCTAAGAGCAGAGAGATGGCTCAGCTCTTCAAAGACAACGGGGGGAGCTGAGAACTGGCATTGAATTGTTTAACTGAGGTTGGAGGTCTGGTCTCACTTCATACAGCACTGAGCTCAGAGGGGTCTGCTGGTTGGTTTCTAAGGATCAGCATTACTGGATTGAAGTTACAACTTCCCAATGAAATAGATGAAACGTTAGGAACCAGTGCCTTGTAGGAGCGTTGAAAACAGCTGAGTCAGAAACTGTGTACTGGCAGTGCACTCGGTGTGGAAAGCAAGGCTGAACGAGGCCAATGTTCTTGTTGCTTTGCGTTTGTGTTGTTAGGAAAAGCCTGACAAATGCTTTTGTACCTTTGTTTCTGACAGCCCTGCACATTTTATATTTAAATTTTTTAATTTAAAACAGATTTTAAATGTTTATGGGTTTTTAATGGGAACATCTTGGCCTTGCTCTGCAAAGGTAAGTATGGAGTTAGAGAAAAAGAAATTCCAGCTTCTGTCCTGAAAATGTTCCACTTAAATTTCAGTTCCCCTTGGTGGGTGAAGCAGCATACAGGAAGCAACTATATGTTCTGCAGCTTTAGGGTCCAAATTATGCTAAGCTGTGGGACCATCACTGTAAAACCCACCTGAACATGCCCACAAGAGGCAGAACCTTGCTGTTTCAGAGCTGCCCTTGGCCCCATAATTCCCCCCCTTTCACCTCTCTGTGAAGACACTGTCACAGGAGAGTGATGTCCCTATAAATGTGTGTACGGTGGTTTTCAGTCTGGAGTTGGGGAATCCTGGAAGGCCCTCCATTTTTTTTTGCTAATGGATCCATGAGTGGTAACTACAGAGATCACGTCTGTTGCGACAGAGCTCACATCTGCTATGCAGGGTCTATGCGTCCCTTGGGGAAGAAATTAGGGAGTCAACAAACTGCAAGATGCAAAACGCATTGCTACAGACAGGCA